GTTGGTGTGATGGAGATAGGAGGAAGAGGAGAGCCATCAAGATGCTGATTACCATTGTGGTGCTGTTCTCTGTGTGCTAGGCCCCGTTCCACACCGTCCCCATTCTCTCTGAGTACAGTAAGTCTGTCTGAGTAGCCAATAGCAAGAGACTTCTCTCCTTTGCATCCTTCAGTTGATCTGAAAGTTGATTTAAATTATGGATTCATATGATTGGAAGTGAGACCCAGAGATGGAGGCCCAAGGGAGCATGGAGAGGATACTTTGCGTCCTATTGTTTGTTTATTGCTGTTATAAAAAAAAAACAATGGGGGAGACTGGAAAGAAGTTATGACAAATGCTCTATTTTATTAGTTGTTCTGACCAAAACCCACCTATCCCACTTATACCACATTATCTAACCAAAACCAACCAATCACACCTAATTACAGTGGGGGGAAAAAGTATTTAGTCAGCCACCAATTGTGCAAGTTCTCCCACTTAAAAAGATGAGAGGCCTGTAATTTTCATCATAGGTACACGTCAACTATGACAGACAAAATGAGAGAAAAAAAATCAAGAAAATCACATTGTAGGATTTTTTATGAATTTATTTGCAAATTATGGTGGAAAATAAGTATTTGGTCACCTACAAACAAGCAAGATTTCTGGCTCTCACAGACCTGTAACTTCTTCTTTAAGAGGCTCCTCTGTCCTCCACTCGTTACCTGTATTAATGGCACCTGTTTGAACTTGTTATCAGTATAAAAGACACCTGTCCACAACCTCAAACAGTCACACTCCAAACTCCACTATGGCCAAGACCAAAGAGCTGTCAAAGGACACCAGAAACAAAATTGTAGACCTGCACCAGGCTGGGAAGACTGAATCTGCAATAGGTACGCAGCTTGGTTTGAAGAAATCAACTGTGGGAGCAATTATTAGGAAATGGAAGACATACAAGACCACTGATAATCTCCCTCGATCTGGGGCTCCACGCAAGATCTCACCCCGTGGGGTCAAAATGATCACAAGAACGGTGAGCAAAAATCCCAGAACCACACGGGGGGACCTAGTGAATGACCTGCAGAGAGCTGGGACCAAAGTAACAAAGCCTACCATCAGTAACACACTACGCCGCCAGGGACTCAAATCCTGCAGTGCCAGACGTGTCCCCCTGCTTAAGCCAGTACATGTCCAGGCCCGTCTGAAGTTTGCTAGAGTGCATTTGGATGATCCAGAAGAGGATTGGGAGAATGTCATATGGTCAGATGAAACCAAAATAGAACTTTTTGGTAAAAACTCAACTCGTCGTGTTTGGAGGACAAAGAATGCGGAGTTGAATCCAAAGAACACCATACCTACTGTGAAGCATGGGGGTGGAAACATCATGCTTTGGGGCTGTTTTTCTGCAAAGGGACCAGGACGACTGATCCGTGTAAAGGAAAGAATGAATGGGGCCATGTATCGTGAGATTTTGAGTGAAAACCTCCTTCCATCAGCAAGGGCATTGAAGATGAAACGTGGCTGGGTCTTTCAGCATGACAATGATCCCAAACACACCGCCCGGGCAACGAAGGAGTGACTTCGTAAGAAGCATTTCAAGGTCCTGGAGTGGCCTAGCCAGTCTCCAGATCTCAACCCCATAGAAAATCTTTGGAGGGAGTTGAAAGTCCGTGTTGCCCAGCGACAGCCCCAAAACATCACTGCTCTAGAGGAGATCTGCATGGAGGAATGGGCCAAAATACCAGCAACAGTGTGTGAAAACCTTGTGAAGACTTACAGAAAACGTTTGACCTGTGTCATTGCCAACAAAGGGTATATAACAAAGTATTGAGAAACTTTAGTTATTGACCAAATACTTATTTTCCACCATAATTTGCAAATAAATTCATTAAATATCCTACAATGTGATTTTCTGGATTTTTTTTCTCTCATTTTGTCTGTCATAGTTGACGTGTACCTATGATGAAAATTACAGGCCTCTCTCATCTTTTTAAGTGGGAGAACTTGCACAATTGGTGGCTGACTAAATACTTTTTTCCCCCACTGTAAATCCCCCATTATTATTCCCATCCTCAGATTACCTGGATGAGCGGTTCAACGACATCACGGTGAACATGATCATGGCCATCGGCTTCTCCAACTCCTTCAACAACCCTATCGTCTACGCCTTCATGAATGAGAACGTTCAGAAGAACTGTGTCTTCACCTTCTCCCAGTGCTGTAGACGGCCACACCAGAGGGTTGGATCTCTAGACGTCACCAGCAGGTCCAAACTACATGTCTGTTTTACTAGGCCGAGGGACAGACAAGAGGCGGCCATCTTGGAAGACAGTATCGTCCAGACCACCAGGACACATACTGGTGGGATTGAGAATGGTACCTCACAGCTAAACACAGCTTCATCCTCTGTAGCTCAATTGGGAGAGCATGGCGCTTGTAACGCCAGGGTAGTGGGTTCGATCCCCGGGACCACCCATACGTAAAAATGTATGTGCACATGACTGTAAGTCGCTTTGGATAAAAGCGTCTGCTAAATGGCATATTATATCCTATGCAGAGTAGAAGATCTCATTTGTGACGTGTGAGCCACAGACATGAGTGGAAGGCAGATGTAGATAGGCCTAGATAAGATTTGGGGCTTCTGTTCACTAACAGTGAGGTTGCAATTGGATCAAGTGGTTGATGACCCCTGGTTAAATAAATCAAATGAAATGACCAGTCATGCTCACCTCACTTTAAAAGGACACCTCACCTTGTAAGACCATATGTTCATCAGTGTCTGGGTTTCTTTTCTGTATTAGATATGTATCTGAAAAATTATGGATATTCTCGCTCTACTCCTGTGTGACCACAGACATGCAACTCTGGACTCTGGAGAGAGAATATGTGGCATCAATCATCCATATTGTATTTATCTACCTTACTTCTTTCTCCACTCAGGGTCTATCTGATTTTATAGCACTCCCTTTGAAAACTGACTGTAGGAAAGTTTCTCCTGCCTTTCAATATGTGAAATATGTGGTCCTGTGTGACTCAGTTGTTAAGAATGTGGTCCAAAGGTATCTAGTTCTGATGGTCCAGAATATTGAATTCCAATACTTTGTAAACAACAGTGTGGACCATAAGCAGGCAGACTTGGTTTGTTGGGCTAATGCTGCATTTCTAATCAAGTGGGATGTGGGAGTTTACTTGGACAAATCCACTTGAATGGCAGCTAAATGCAACAACAAAACATAATTTATAAAAAGCATTTATTTCCATAAATTGAATTAACCTCTGCACCCATGACCCTCCATGAACCACGTTGCCTGTGCGTACTGGTATGTGAAGAGTGAAGACCCTACAAAATAGTAGTGGACACTGTGAAAATGTATGTATTTTCATCCATGACCCAAGTCATGCACCGGGCCAGAGATATTAGAGAAATAAGGAGATAAGAATCCCATTGGGCTATGAATAGAGGAACATACAGCGCCTCACCCAGCAGACTGTCGACCGTATTCATGCTGCGTCACGCGGTTGCTAAGCTAATCATCACGCAATCCCTTCTCAAAGTCAGGGTATGAGTCAAGAAACCTGCCTATTTTCCTTGAAACGTAATGTCACAATTCCAAAGCTATACGACATTACAGAGAACAAGTTAACTATGTCACATCTCGGAAAATATGTGTAATGTTGTACTTCTTATTGACGAAATTCATGCTAATGTTGGGTTTTTTAACTAGCGCCCCAATGATTGCCGCCCAGTAGCACTCACATCTGTAATCATGAAGTGCTTTGATATGCTGGTTATGGTACACATCAACTCCATCATCCCAGACACCCTAGACCCACTCCAATTTGCATACCGCTCCAACAGATCCATAGACGACGCAATCTCAATTGCACTCCACACTGCCTTCACCCACCTAGATAAGAGGAATACCAATGCGAGAATGCAATGTCCCACCCAAGCTCATCACCAAGCTTAGGACCCTGGGACTGAACACCTCCCTCTGCAACTGGATCTTGGACTTCCTGACGAGCCGACCCCAGGTGGTGAGGGTAGGCAACATCACCTCCACCACACTGACCTTCAACACGGAGAACCCACAGGGGTGTACGCGTAGTCCCCTCCTGTACTCCCAGTTCACCCACAGCTGCATGAAAACGCTAAACTCCAACACCATCATCAAGTTTGCTTAGGACACGGAGGTAGTAGGCCTGCTGCTACACATATATCCTGATGCCTAGTTACCTTACCCCTATGCATATCTACCTCTATCACTCCAGTATCCCTGCACATTGTAAATATGGTATTGGAACTGACCCTGTATATAGCTTCTTACTTTCTCCTGTTCTTCTTATTTCTTATTTCTCCTGTGTTTTTGTCCTACCTTATGTAATTTTTTGTGCCACATTGATATTGATTACTGCATTGCTAGGTTTGGAGCTTGCAAGAAAGGCACTTCACTGTACTTGTGCACATGACATTCAAAACTTGAAACTTGAAATTGACTCCAATTCATTCCTCGAAAGAGAGCTCTCCTTGTCCCAGAATCTCATAGAATGCACCACGCGGCCCCTTGACGACGCATGGGCAACATACACAATGGACGTTAATACGATTCAAATGGAGCTTTCCATCTCCTCAAAAGTATCTCTGACCAGGCTGTCATTGACGCTACTTGACTGACATCTAGCGGTACAGGTAGGAATTGCACCTTATACACCTTATGGAGGGCATCAGGGAATAAATGTGTAGCTGCTATATGAATAAAATGGTCATCAATTAATACATTTGTAATCAACAAACATGTTATTCTTACTATATTGCATACGTTCATGTGTTTAGCCAAAATTATATGGGCATGTATTTGATTGAGTGACGTTTGATCTATAGTCATATACACTTGAGAAAATATTACATAAAAAATATAAAAACTATACGTTCTATTTCCCTCTGTGGTCTCTTAAATAATCTGAATTTACTTTTAGTCAGGCAAGTATTCAGGTCGCACCGCTTCCATTCAGGCGTTTGGTTGGCCGTCTGCGGGTCCTTCCTCCTTTTCCTCGTCCCTGAGAGGCTGATGTCAAGATGGTGAGTCTTGTGGCATAAAATGTAGAATTAAATCCTTTGTTTATCTTCACCATCCTTTCATCGTTGTTAAAATCATGAAGTCCAAATACATGTATAAGCCATTCCTGTAAGAATATTAGAATATTGAAATGGTAAAATTATTTTAGGTCCTTGATGAACTGATTAATTTCGGTGGCCTAGCCTAGCGCTCGGCTGTTGGACCGCCTGTTCAGTTAGTTGTACAAACCATTCAGTAATTTTGTAACACATGGCTTCTAATTTTCTACTACTACGTGTTGGCGGCTACATTGTGGTTTTGTCCAGTCTTGTATAATACTATTATTTGGCCAGCACAGGCAATATGGCTAGCTACATGCTAAGGTATGTGCTAGCAAGGTGTCCTCGACTGCTGTGGCTAGTGAGTCTCCCAGGCACAGCATGCCACTTGTAAAGTGATATTAGGATTCTGGAAACTAGCTAACTAGTTCCCACAAGATAACTAACGCTAAGTTATCACAAATGCATTGTCTTCGTCATGTACCTTGTAATCAATCTGTCCAGAAGTGCTCAGGTGTTTGAAGTGGTTAGTTCACAAGATCTGAGTAGATGGAAGCTAGTTAACACTTACCTTGGCTGGCTAGCTAGCTAGGTTGTTAGTGATGCAGCAACCTGTCGGTATGATTTGGTTTTGGACTAGTTACCTAGCATACTGTTCAGGTATCTAGCTAACTACTAAATGTTACCTATGTAGGTAGCTAAATCGAAGGTAAGGTAGTTGGCTAGCTACTTGTTGCATGGCATAATAAGTTTGATAACACGACGGTGGTAGGCCTGATCAATGATGAGACAGCCTATTGGGAAGAGGTCAGATACCTGGCAGTGTGGTGCCAGGAGAACAACCGCTCCCTCAACATCAACAAGACACAGGAGCTGATCGTGGACTACAGGAAATGGAGGGCCGAACACGCCCCCATTCACATCGACTGGGCTGTAGTAGAGTGGGTCGAGAGCTTCAAGTTCTTCGGGGTCCACATCACTAAGGATCTATCATGGTTCACACACACCAACACAGTCGTAAAGAGGGCACGACAAAGCCTCTTCCCGCTCAGGAGGCTGAGAAGATTTGGCATGGGCCCTCAGATCCTCAAAGTTCTACAGCTGCACTATTGAGAGCATCTTCAATGGCTGCATCAGCGCTTGATATGGGAACTGCTTGGCATCCGACCGCAAGGCGCTACAGAAGGTAGTGCATACGGCCCAGTACATCACTGGGGCCAAGCTCCCTGCCATCCAGGATCTCTATACCAGGCGGTGTCAGAGGAAGGCCCTAAAAATTGTCACTCCAGTGACCGAAGTCATAAACTGTTATCTCTGCTATCACATGGCGACCAGGAGACCCATGGGGCGGCGCATAATTGGCCTTGCGTCGTCCAGGGTAGGGGAGGGAATGGCCGGCAGGGATGTAGCTCAGTTGGTAGAGCATGGCGTTTGCAACGGCAGGGTTGTGGGTTCAATTCCCACCGGGGGCCAGTATGAAAAAACAATCAATAATAATAATGTATGCACTCACTAACTGTAAGTCGTTCTGGATAAGAGCATCTGCTAAATTACTTAAATGTAAGTGGTCCTCTGTAGCTCAGCTGGTAGAGCATGGCGCTTGTAACGCCAAGGTAGTGGGTTCGATCCCCGGGACCACCCATACACAAAAATGTATGCACGCATGACTGTAAGTCGCTTTGGATAAAAGCGTCTGCTAAATGGCTTATTATTATTATTATTTAAATGTAATGGCAAGCGGTGCCTGTGCACCAAGTCTGGAACTAACAGGACCCTGAACAGCTTCTAACCCTAAGCCACAAGACTGTTAAATAGTTTGTAAAATAGTTAACCAAATAGCTACCCGGACTATCTGCATTGACCCTTTTTGGACTAACTTTTTGACTCGTCACATGCGCTGCCTGCTGCTGCTGTTTATCTATAATTTTGCCTAGTCACTTTATTCCTAGTTATATGTACATATCTACCTCAATTACCTCGTACCCGGGCACATGGACTCGGTGCTGGTACGGGTGTGTATATAGCCAAGTTATTGTTAGTCATTGTGTTTTACTTTTATTACATGTTATTACTTTCATATTATTTCTCTATTGTCTGTCTCTCTGCATTGTTGTTAAGGGCCCGTAATTAAGCATTTCACTGTTAGTCTACACCTGTCGTTTACAAAGCATGTGACGAATAACAGTTGATTTACATTTACATTTTAGTAATTTAGCAGACGCTCTTATCCAGAGCGACTTACAGTTAGTGAGTGCATACATTTTCATACTGGCCCCCCGTGGGAAACAAACCCACAACCCTGGCGTTGCAAGCGCCATGCTCTACCAACTGAGCTACAGATTTGTGATCTGATGTGGAATTGTCATGCAACAAGTAACTTTTCTTTTTGGCCTGCTAATTAGCTTGCTACCTGACAAAGGCAATGTCTTGTGTTAATACTTGTGTTGCTGTATACTACTTGTCTTGCTACTTGTATATAGCATCTAGATGTAAGGTCCCTAAACTCTGTTCCCCATCTACTTTCAGAACGACACAGTGACAGTCAGAACCCGGAAGTTCATGACAAACCGGCTGCTTCAGAGGAAGCAAATGGTAAGCCAAAATGTTTCTTTCCTACCACGTATACCACCAAAACATGACCTCATCTCTTCATACTGAGTGTTCAGCTGACCTCTATCAGTAGAGCAAAAGACCGTCATGATCTGCCCTGATGGTCTATTGATTAAATTATCTATTAAATGTTAGGAAGCATCAAGATCACCAGTGTGCTAGTTTCCTAGTGCTGCATGGTCTAAAACCTGTTTCCATTGTCTCCGTTTCTAGGTTGTCGATGTCCTCCATCCGGGCAAAGCCACAGTCCCCAAGACTGAGATCCGGGAGAAGCTGGCCAAGATGTACAAGACCACCCCCGACGTGGTGTTCGTGTTCGGCTTCAGGACCCAGTTTGGTGGCGGCAAGACGACGGGCTTCGCCATGGTCTACGACTCTCTCGACTACGCTAAGAAAAACGAGCCCAAGCACAGACTGGCCAGGGTGAGTGGATGCTGGGAAAATGGAAACAAGTGGGGCTTAGCTTGTGGAATGCACCAATTGAATGGATATAGCTGTTTTTAGGCTATATTCTCTATTTGTATGACTCCAGGTCTGTGCATAGTTTCTATGGGTCCCATCATTGTCACGTATTGTCTGCCAGTGGTGCCCACATTGATGCTGACTAATGGAACGATAACCTACACACAATGGAAGCAGTGCTGTTTAGTTAAAATGTTTGGTTTTCTCTGTTCTCACAGCATGGTCTCTATGAGAAGAAGAAGTCCTCCAGAAAACAGCGCAAGGAACGCAAGAACAGAATGAAGAAAGTACGAGGCACCAAGAAAGCCAGTGTGGGCGCTGCTGGCAAAAAGGTAATGTGGCCATTCTCCCTATGGTACATTCCTCTTGTTCAAGGATGGGTGCATTTCATTAGTCACATTTTTACAGTAGCTCCTTTTATTCTCCATCTGCACTGTAAAAGGCTGAGTTGATGAATGCATAATACTGGATGGCTGCTAGATGTAGGCTATGCTTTCACCGAAGAGAAATTCACATCAGTGCAGATAGAGGGAGCTTCTTAAGATTATTGAAACACACCCCAAGTGTCACTTATTTCGTATTAGTTAATAATTAATTACATGCAAATCTTTCCTTCTTCCCAAGTCTGTTAGTTCTGCCTTTATTTATATGTTGTTACTGTTTTAATATGCATTGTCATCTTCTCTTATCTACTGTTCCTTGGGACTTTAGAAGGTAAATGTTGTTTTCATCAGTAGACTAACTGCTCTGTGCAGATAATAATACTTAGGAGTGATGTTCCTAGCTAACTCCTGTTAGACTTCATCCCCATCTTCCCATTATATAACCAAAAAAGCTACGGTGCCTTTTTACATGTGTATTTATCGAACATCCACACTTGGTTTCAGTTCAGTCACCTACCAGTTAATACTTAGAATGAGCAGCTAACTCATGACCCTAATGTTGGCGAGTGTGAACTGAGCACTAATAGTGGTTTAGATCCCAGATTGAACCGTATAGTGTGGACCTAAGACTCAATAGTAGGTCGCCTAGTGGATCTCTGAAAGATTAGAAACTAGAGCAGTTTCTCAATTCAATCCTGGAGGACCCCAATGGAGTACACATTTTTGTTTTAGCCCAGTACTAACACGCATAATTAAACTAATCAAGTCTTAGTGCTGGGCTAAAACACAAATGTGCATCCCCAGGGATCCCCCAGGAATGTATTGAGGGACTTTTCTAGAAGCTGCATTTGTGTGCATTTATTGACATGTCCACATCTGGTGCTCAGCATTCAGTTTTGCCTTCGTATTCTTTCCCTGGGTGGAATCGGTCCCAACTGAATTAGATTAATCTATGGCGCAAATCTTATTTACATTTACATCATTTAGCAGACGCTCTTATCCAGAGCGACTTACAAATTATGACATTCAGAGATCTACTATAGGAGTGTGAAGTATTTTAAGTAAAAGACCTTAACATTACTTTCTTTCTTCATCCTTTTGCCTTTTATTTTGCCTCCCATGGATTTTTTACAGAAATGAGGTGTCTGTTACAGGTATAAAGCAAAAGGGGCATGGTGTGCTATATTATTGTGTTGAAATGCACATTGAATCTTATCTCCTGGTACCTCACCTGTAGAGATCTCACCTGTAGTCTTCCATCAACCTTAACTACCAGTACCCATCCTTACTATTTCAACCCATCTTCCATCCCCTTTTTTCCCCCCAAACTCCTAAACCTACCCTGGCTGGTACTTATACTCTGACGAATATTATAATATCAACTAACGTCATATCAACAAAAAAACGATTTAATTGCACCACTACTCTGCTTCTAAAAAGTTACCATTCTTATTCTGCTGTTAAACTATTTTACTATAACTATGTATTGGTCAACAGCTCGGTACAGTTATGCTAACATGCGTTATGAGCGGCGACCTTTGGGGGTTGTTTATTAAAGCATGTCTAGGATAATAATTTATAGTCCACTGTCTCGATGTGAGACAACTGTCTACTCATACGACTTTTCTCTGAAACCTTAAACTTCCTACTTTCATTTAGGAATGTTTAATTTAATACAGTGTACTTTGAAATATACTTTGATATTATTTTATACTCTACTGCCCAATACATTCTTCACTGAGCTGAAAAAGTCAGTTAAACTGTAATATTGCAGTTTTCATTTGGATGCATTTACTATTAAAAAAACTTGTAGGTTGAGCTCCATCTCTAGCAAATGCATCTGTTCCCAATTTCAATATTATTACCCTACGAACCCTCAGCCCAATTACCCCGCTTCCTTTAGTTGAGTTGCCCCCACCCCCTTGAGTAGAGATGGAGATGGTGAATTTCAGTTTTGTAGGTAAACTAACTTCTCTTCCTCTGTGTTTCCCTGCAGTGAGCCCAGAGAATCAGGGATGTTCCTCGTGCTCAAGATGTTCTTGTATATTGTCATCGAATAAAAAAAGTCAAACTGTCCTGTGTTCCTCATTTCTGCTACATGTCCTGGACTGAAAAGCATGTATATTTGTGTCTGTACACGTACATTTGCTTGAAGATGGTTATGTTCAAAGTAGTTCTTGGGATAGTGGTAGTCTGGCTCATACCAAACTCTTTCCGACTTACATTTACCAGACACTCTTATCCAGAGCAACTGGACACAGTTATCCAGAGCAACTTACATTATAAAAAAAAAAATCATACTTGTCCCCTGTGGGAATCGAACCCACAACCCTGGCGTTGCAAACGCCATGCTCTACATCCCCTACCCTGGGCCAATTGTGCGCCGCCCCATGGGTCTCCCGGTCACAGCCGGCTACGACAGAGTCTGGATTTGAACCAGGATCTCTAGCGGCACAGCTAGCACTGCGATGCAGTGCCTTAGACCACTGCGCCACTCGGGAGACACAGTCTGGAAAGGCTGTTTTGATGCTGTTGGCATGATGCGTCGATAATGACAGTGGCTGTGCTGTTACTGGTTGGTTCTCCTCTTGTCTTCTCACACAAACAGCCCCCGAACTGTTGGTTTCAACCCCCCCAGGAAAAACATTTGACAACCAATCAATGCATCCGCTCAATTTGAGCAAATATTGCATTAACAGCCTCCTGACCAGATGTCTATTGTTGGCTATGGCTATATTCTCCTTTCAATACTGTTGAATGGTGTTCCCATTTAACATCTACGGGATCGGTGTCCCGTATACAGGACGGTTGAGCTAACGTGCGCTAATGTGATTAGCGTGACTGTTGTGAGTAACAGCAAACTTTCCAGGATATATACATGTCTTATATGGGCAGAAAGCTTACATTCTTGTTAATCTAACTGCACTGTCCAATTTACAGTAGCTATTACAGTGAAAAAATGCCATGCTATTGTTTGAGGAGAGTGCACAACAAAAACAAAACCTATCACGGCAACTGGTTTGATACATTCACCTCTGAAGGTAAATAATGTACTGACATTAAGCTCCCAGAGATAAAATGTAGCATGGTTTTGTTTGATAAAATTAATTTTTATATTCAAATGTAGGAACTTTGTTCTACAGTTTGAACCCCTGCTGTCTCTGGCTCCACACCCACCCCGCCCGGCCATCTAGATGTGTGAAAGTTAGTGTATAACCGCCCGGCCATCTAGATATGTGAAAGTTAGTGTATAAGCTAATGAGCCATCATGTATGACATTCCTGGGAGTGTGTAAACTTACATTTTGTATTACCATATCATTTTTGTATGTTCTCTATAGTTATGTACTTGGAAAATGTATCAATTGACCAATTTGGCACATTTGGGCAGACTTGATACAAAATAGTCAAGTATTGCAGCGCTTCACTGGATCAATCTGAAACTTTGCACACACTGCTGCCATCTAGTGGGAAAAATCGAAATTACGCCTAAACTGCAATATTATATTGTGGCCTTTCTCTTGCATTTCAAAAAAAAAAGATGGAACACATTTTTTTTAATAGAAAACGCATGTTTTTTATAGCCTGTGATAGTCTCATACACTGGTCCAGTGTGTTTTTCTCTGTATAGACATTTCTTCAGTGCTTATGACCTGAATATTTCCAATGTCTTTTCTCACAATGATAAGACATAAATGAAGTGCTCTGTCTAAATGGTTCCATTGTGTCCACCTCCCAGACTGAAGAACCTTTGTGTGAGTTCAGAGCCGAACTAATGGTGCTATGATGCAGAGACTACTACTGCTGCACCTCATGCTGATACATTTTTACATTTTAGTCATTTAGCAGACGCTCTTATCCAGAGCGACTTACAGTTAGTGCATACATTTTTCATACTGGCCCCCCGTGGGAAACGAACCCACAACCCTGGTGTTGCAAGCGCCATGCTCTACCAACTGAGCTACAGGGGACTCTGTGATACGTCTCCGCTATGCACTCTTTTTGTTGGCATCATACCTGGCACCTTACCCTTACTACTGCTGTCCCCAAGGTCTCATTACTAGGTCCCCCCTTGGTTCTCTACACAAACTGACCTGGTCCTTCTCTCACAACCTCAGTCTCATCACTGTTATGCTGATGACACTCAACTCTTGCTCACACATCCCTGGCCTGACAGGTATGATTTCTGTGAGGCTGGCAGACATCACTGTAAAGTCCATGGAGAATAAGAGCACTTCCTCCCAGCTGCCCACTGCACTGAGGCTAGGAAACACTATCACCACCGATAAATCTACAATAATCGAGAATTTCAACAAGCATTTTGCTACAGCTGGCCATGCTTTCCATCTGGCTACCACTAACCCGGCCACCAACTCTGCACCCTCTGCTGCAACTTGCCCATGCCCCCCCCGCTTCTCCTTCACACAAATTCAGACAGCTGATGTTTTGAAAGCGCTGCAAAATCTGGACCCCTACAAATCAGCTGGGCTAGACAATCTGGACCCTTTCTTTCTAAAACTAGCCGCCGAAATTGTCGCTACCCCTATTACTAGTCTGTTCAACCTCTCTTTCATAACGTCTGAGATCCCCAGAGATTGGAAAGCTGCCGCGGTCATCCCCCTCTTCAAAGGGGGTGACACTCTAGATCCAAACTGCTACAGACCTATATCCATCCTGCCCTGCCTTTCGAAAGTATTTGAAAGCCAAGTTAACAAACAGATCACCGACCATTTCGAATACCACCGTACCTTCTCCGCTATGCAATCCGGTTTCCGAGCTGGTCACGGGTGCACTTCAGCCACGCTCAAGGTCATAAACGATATTATAACCGCGATTGATAATAGACAGTACTGTGCAGCCGTCTTCATCGACCTGGCCAAGGCTTTCGACTCTGTCAACCACCGCATTCTTATTGGCAGACTAAATAGCCTTGGTTTCTCAAATGACTGCCTCGCCTGGTTCACCAACTACTTCTCAGATAGAGTTCAGTGTGTCAAATCGGAGGGCCTGTTGTCTGGACCTATGGCAGTCTCTATGGGGGTGCCACAGGGTTCAATTCTTGGGCCGACACTTTTCTCCGTGTATATCAATGATGTCGCTCTTGCTGCTGGTGACTCTCAGATCCACCTCTACGCAGACGACACCATTTTGTATACATCTGGCCCTTCATTGGACACTGTGTTAACAAACCTCCAAACGAGCTTCAATGCCATACAACAATCCTTCAGTAGCCTCCAACTGCTCTTAAACACTAGTAAAACTAAATGCATGCTTTTCAATCGAACGCTGCTGGCACCCGCCCACCCGACTAGAATCACCACTCTCGACGGGTCTGACCTAGAGTATGTGGACAACTACAAATACCTAGGTGTCTGGTTAGACTGTAAACTCAACTTCCAGACTCACATAAAGAATCTCCAATCCAAAGTTAAATCTAGAATCGGCTTCCTATTTCGCAACAAAGCCTCCTTCACTCATGCTGCCAAACATGCCCTCGTAAAACTGACTATCCTACCGATCCTTGACTTCGGCGATGTCATTTACAAAATAGCCTCCAACACTCTACTCAGCAAATTGGATGTAGTCTATCACAGTGCCATCCGTTTTGTCTCCAAAGCCCCATACACTACCCACCACTGTGACCTGTACGCTCTTGTTGGCTGGTCCTCACTACATGTTCGTCGTCAAACCCACTGGCTCCAGACCATCTATAAATCACTGCTAGGCAAATCCCCGCCTTATCTTAGCTCATTGGTCACCATAGCAGCACCCACCCGTAGTCTGCGCTCCAGCAGGTATATCTCACTGGTCATTCCCAAAGCCAACACCTCCTTTGGCCGCCATTCCTTCCAGTTCTCTGCTGCCAATGACTGGAACGAATTGCAAAAATCTCTGAAGCTGGAGACTCTTATCTCCCTCAATAACTTTAAGCATCAGTTGTCAGAGCACCTTACCGATCACTGCACCTGTACACAGCCCATCTGAAATTAGCCCACCCAACTACCTCATCCCTATATTGTTATTTATTTTGCTCTTTTGCACCCCAGTATCTCTATTTGCACATAATCTCTTGCACATCTAGCATTCCAGTGTTAATACTATTGTAATTATTCTGCACTATAGCCTATTTATTGCCTTACCTCCATAACTTGCTACATTTGCACACACTGTATATATATTTTCTGTTGTATTTTTGACTTTATGTTTTTTTACCCCATATGTAACTCTGTGTTGTTTTTATTGCACTGCTTTGCTTTATCTTGGCCAGGTCGCAGTTGTAAATGAGAACCTGTTCTCAACTGGTTTACCTGGTTAAATAAAGGTGAAATAAAAATTAAATAAAATCTCTGATTTGATGTTGGCCCACCACCTGAAGCTCAACAATATTGCACTGCTATTCGTTCCTGGGGGGAGGCTTGCCAGCTCCAAGACCTCCATCACTGTCGACAAACTCCATTGTTATGTCCACCTTCCAGACTGCGAAGAACCTCTGTGTGACCTTGGGGAGTTCAGAGCCAAGCTGATGGTGCTACGATGCTGAGACTAATGCGTCAACACATTGATTCAGAGATTCAACCTGTACATTCATATTAAATCCGCTCTGAACTTTTTGTCAATTTGACACGTGACGTGAAACAGAATGTGAGCTTGCAAGATCAGGCTAGTTTAACGAGGCTAGCTTTTGGTATAACTGGGTAGTTATGAAAACAGGTGCGCCCAGACCTTCACCACCTAACTCTGGCAAACACGATATACATCAGCTAGTACATAAAGTAACAGTTACTTTCGCTGATAATCAGGGTACTTCAACAGGACATCGTTTTTTTAGTTGGGTAACCAGCACCCAACCACCTACATTCTCATCATTTCAACAAAAATATGAAGAATATGATTTGCAGTTAATTAAACATGAGAGGGCACCCTGGATTTCTTCTGGCACCACACTCATTGAGTGTAGCTAGACAGCATTATATATATATATATATATGCCATTTAGCAGACGCTTTTATCCAAAGCGACTTACAGTCATGCGTGCATACATTTTTTTTTTGTGTATGGGTGGTCCCTGGGATCGA